ACGAGGAAAAGAAAGACGAGAGTCAAGAGAGAGAGACGAGTACAACCAACGACAAAAAAAAAGAAAAAGAAACCGAACTAGGAGAAAAGACATGGGTGAGAAATACGAAAGAGAGGTATCAAGGTATCAAATCACAGAAAGATACAATGCGGATAAAAGAAGGTACACAAGGTCCATAAATCCATAGGTGGAGGGAGGGTGGGCTGGAAAGAAGGCACCAGCTAATGTACGAATGGCGAAGAGTGAAGAGTTGGAGAAGAAGAGAAAGATAGCGCAAACAGGGGACTCGGAGGCTCTTATGGGACATGCTGCACAGAATATGGATGGGTACAGAGAAAAGAATGGCCAGTGATAAATGATGAAAAGAATGTAGGATGTGAACCGAGGTGTGGTGAATGGTACCAGTCGAGTATTGGAGTCGTTCAATCACTGAACGAAGGGTTGAATGGGCAGGTAAACGGAATGTCGAAGGAAGACCAACGAGGAATGGTGACGTGGAGGAGACCGAAAGGAACACCAGAAGGAATGGAAGTACAAATATTCGAAAGGATAAGAGAAGAGAAGGGAGAACCAAAGCGAATTGAAGATATGGGTTCTAGCTCCCTTTGCTAGGTCCTTCATCGAACAGCTGTTCTCGACTAAAGTCGGCACCTGTGTCTTCTCTTCTCCCTTCTCCCATCTTTTCTCTCTTCCCTCCAGTCCTAAATATATACAGCGGACCGACGCCGACGTAACGAAGCCCCAAAAACACCCCACTTGACAAGAAAAGACATTAGAAGAAAACGGCAAATGTCAATCAAAGTCAAAGTCAATCAAAGAAGGTCGCCGCTTTTGACCCCTTTGGACTTGATCAACCCCGCCCTGAATCCTTGACATAACCTGAAGGCTGATCCCCAGGGCTGTCGGGGTCCCTGAACTGAACTTTTGAAGGCAGTATGTGATGCGGAATCCAGATGCAGATGTAGAGTTCCTGAGGTGGTCGGACGGGCGGGGAAGGCGGAAGGCGGGGATGTGAGTAAGTGCCTACTCGGTTTTGTGGCTCGATAGACCAGCGTTCCAGCTTTATCGTCGCAAATGAGCTTGTTCTATGGATATTGGGCGGGCTGTACGGTCCAGTGGTACAAGGACAAGAATAAAGGGGCAAAGCAGAGAGCGGGACGGTTTATCCCAGGACCTAGTGTATCGATTTAGATGGTGGTGGCAATCCCGGCCCGCTGCCAGCCCGTATGGTTCATGATCACATTCACTTGGTACCAGAAGCTGCAAGGACTCAAGCCGAGTTGAGTTGAGCGTGTCGTCCTTTGCTGAGGGATGGCATTGGTCAAGCTTCAGTAGACATACCATCACCATCACCCGGCAATAGAATCCCAGAATCCCGTTTCCATGCCCATCGACCTTCCACGAGCAAAGCAAGTCCAAAAATCTCCAGCTTGAACGCCTCTTCAAGCCGTGAATTCGAAATTCCAACCGCTCTAGTCTTCCTCTACCACAATCACAGACGCAGCCAAACACCGACACCACCTTCACCGCTGTGTAGCATTCACGTTGACCATCAACCATCGACCCGTTTACCATTGACCACTGACCATTAACACCATTATCCCATGAGGCCCAAGCGAGGTCTGCACCCCGCTCAGCCTACGGCGAGACCTGCACCTTGATCGGTCTGGCGGTCATCAACGGCGCTGCTGGGGACAGCGTAGGCAACACAGGCAGGGGTAGTGATGGAGGGGAAAGAGCACGTCCAGGTGTAGATGTGGGCACGGGCGTATGAGCATGCGCATGCGCAGGTGATGGTGGTGATAAATATGAGGATGTGGCGCGGCCTGCTCGAGGTGTTGGATCAGGAGTAGGACTAGGGGTAGTCCTCCTACTCCCACTTGCATTGCTTTTTGTAGACTTTGGTGGTGTAGCAGCCGTAGTCGTAGTCAAATTTGAATTAGAGGCATATACACCCTTCTCCTTGCCCTTCCCAACCCAGCTCTCCTTCCCAGGAGGAAGCGGTGACATCGAGGGCGAAGGTAAAGGTGAGAGCGAGGGCAAAAGTGAGAGTGAAAGTGGGAGCGACACATCTCGGTACTGATGCACGCCGCCGACCCTTGAGCTTGAGCTTGAAACAGCCCCTGCGTACTCAACTCGGTACTGGCGGCCCATGAATTCCGAGCGCTGGATTTGAACCTGAAGCTTTTGTTGGCGTTGTTGTTGCCCATTTTGGTGGGGGCCTTGCTGGCGTTGGTCTTGCCATTGAGGATCTTGTCGTCCTTCCCAATGCTGGTGATGGCGATGGTACTATTGGTGTTCATCTCCTCCTGCACAGGACCAGGACTATGACCAGGCGTTTGGCAGAGCATCCTCAACGCTCGAAAATGTATAATTCAAATCCGAGGATCTACCCTCCAAAGAGTCCAACTTGAACACCCCCAACTCATCCGAATCCCCAGTTCCAGCCCCAATCTCTGAAACCACCATACTCGGAAGCGGCGGGGGCCTCATCCCCGGCCCCTGCCCCAATCCTGCATGGCTCTTCTTCCTCATCCTCATAGAGCCGACTTTCCCGGCAGCCCTAATAGCCGCATGCGTCGTCGCGTTCACGAGCGCGCTGGAGGACGTGATGGAGGACGTAACGGACGCCGACAGCGAGCCAGCTGCGGACAGAAAGGACGGCTGGTGCCTGAGGCTCTGATGATACGCATGCCACTGCGATCGGGCGTGCACCTGTGCTAAATTTGAAGTGGACGTGGACTCGCCGCCGCTGCTGGTGGTGGTGGTAACACTAAACGAAGAAGAGTGGGACGCGACGCTCCTGCACTCGGACGCGTCTGTGCCCGTAGGGGAGTCGGGTACAGAGAGGGCCATGGGGGAAGGTGAGTGTGGATGGGAGTGAGATGACGAAGAGCCAGAGGCGGAGGAGGTCGCTGTGGACGGCGGGAGAGGCGGGAGAGTGAGCGGGAAGGCGGTGTGATACTGGAACGGGAGGGGCGGTGAGCGGGGGTCAGGTGACATTACAGGCGAGCATTGTCGGGAGGGAGAGGCTTCGGAGGAGGAGGAGCACGCTTCTTCCCACGCACCCGCCTTTCCCTTGCCTTTCGCCCTCCTCAGCCTCGCCTCCTTCTCGTCCCTCTCCCTCTCCAGCCCCCTCCGCCTCCCCACCCACTCCTCCAGATTCTTCCTGCAATGCCACGTATACATCTGCATCTCCGGGATCGCCCTCTGCGTGAGTTCCAACAAGGGCCTCGCGAACGTGCGTATAAAAAAGATCTGCGAGTCTGCTTCCTTGATCGGGTCATAAGACGCGAATGAGACGGGCACGGTTTGCTGCAGGTGGTAGGACTCTTCCAGGTGCGCTTGCGCAGTCCATTCGTGTATGAGGGCCGTCGCCCAATGTTTGGATACTAGAAAAAGGACGGGTCTGTAATGACAAGTGTTTAATAATTTAAACATAAAAGTATGAAATCTACAAGTACTCACTGGATTACTGATATCCGCATTCTTCAAAATCGCCTGACAGAGCACAATCTGCCGCTCACACACGCTCATCTGCTCACCGTCCACGACGCTCTTGAGCGTCTCCATAAACTTCCCATGTACGCCCATATCCGTCGCCAGCACGCTCTTATGCACGAGCTTGCGCAGGTGCTTGCCGTGCAGAGGGTCATCAAGCAGCACGCCGAACCCGTGGTAGCGCATCATGCATAAAAGGAGATGGCAGTGCATATGTTCGAGGGCGGAGCCATGGTTAAAGAGTACCACCAGGGGCGCTTGGGCGTTTTTCTGCAATGCGGGGGTGAGTGGGAATTTTGAGTAAATAAAATAGAATGAAGGGGAGCGCACCATGAACATGTTGCTGAAACCAGGATGACCGACATCATGCCCAATAGCGCTCACATAGAGCATGAAGAGCTCTCTCTTCCCGAGGGAAGCGATTAAACTCCCACTAGCAAATTTAGGTGGCACCCACCGCCTATCTGCTGGTTGGAGGAGGATGATGGGCGGGGGGACGAGCCCCGCAGATTTGAGGTAGGACTGGGTCGCTTGGAGCACATCCAGCGCGTGTTCAAAGTTGTGGTATTTGTTCTCATAGCGGTAGATACGGCGGAGGTGGTGTATGAAGGCGGTTATTTGTTCTGCGCTGGGGGTTAATCGAGATGCAGTGAAGGGGATGGAGTACGCACCCATGGTCAGAGAGACATCATCCTCCATACCGTCGATGCGGAAGAGAGCCTCGAAGAGGAGGAGCGTGGATGCGAGGACCTCTTCGTCTGGCAGCTTGTGGGGTTCAAAATCCCATTTATCCAGTCCCCGAATGAGCCTGTCGCGGACATTTTCAGGAATGGGAGGGGGCGGGCTGCAACTGGGGGGATGAGAACCAAAAGACGCAAACCAGGCAAGACAACGCACGATACAAGACTGTTATCATTAACAGAGTTGAGGGTTTCATTGTACATATCGCTGAGGAGCTCAGCGTACATCGTTCTGGGGCAAACAGAATGAGGCATGGTGCATGGGAAAAGAGAAAAGGGCACGGAGAGAAACAGAAAAAGAAAAAAGACCCACTCAATATCACCCCCTTCGCCACCCCATCCAGCCCTGGCCCTGGGCACCAAATCAGCGCTGCTGTAAGAGTAGTCCGCTTCCCACCCCTCGCCCTCGTCCGGCGACATCTGATCAAACCTTACGCTACTACTACTGGCTGCCAAGGCGAGGTGGAGACCACCGACATCTGCACTGCGACGGCGCCAGTCACGCGGGAGGGAAGAAGCTGCGCTCGAACTGGAGCCAGCCGTTGCCATGGTCCACACACAGCCAATGCGTTGGGCAAGGAAAAAAAAGAGAGAGAAAGAGAAGAGAGGGAGAGATGGGTTTAATGAATGAATGGGATTGCTATTACTATACGCTCTCGTGGTCTGCGCGTGGGCTAAACTCGATCGGCAAGGACCCCGACCACCACCAGTTAGTTCCCCATTCCCTTCCCTTCCTTATCTAATCGCACCAAAAAGTTCCGTCACCTGAGCGATTCGAACACTCGCGGGCAAAGCCCAACCGCTGAGCTACAGATTACACTCTAGTAATACTGTATAGCAGGCGATCCCGTTAACCACTCCGGCAAAGTGACCATGACAGCTCGTGCGCACCTTTTCATCAAGGATGGTCAAGCCAAAGTGATTGCTCGACTATCAACCCGCGATTTTACAATTCCATGCTGCCATTACATTAATACATATAATTAATCCCGCCCTCGGTGCCTCTATCATCCCCACATCCACAGCCTCCATCGCCGATAAGCAGGTACGTACATACACATGAAATGATACGCAATTTCACTACTTGCCACTGGATGAATGGTTCCCCGCCAATCGTCATCCAGCATGCTCGGTGCCTTTTCTCCGAATCCCGATCCCTTCACTAAAAATAGCCCGATCCTTTCCTATGCAATTCGCCTCCCCACGTGGATTGTACCCCCCCTTGGGTCCCCTTCTCCCCCTCCCCTGCTCAACTTTGAACAACGACAGTGCTCGGGGTCCTGCTTTTCTCAGAATCACACTGCGCCGTAGGGCCCGTAGACCATTCATGGGTTCAAGACCTTAAGGAAAGAAAGAAAGAACATCGCGAAGCTGCCCTGGTTTAAAAATTTCAGACGACAATCACCGTGATAGATGTGATGATAGCGTAGCCTGACGGCGGGAACTTGTTACTCTCTTTGTCTTTCTTTCTCTGCGTGCTCGATTCAGAGGAAATACTTGCCAGTACAGGGTCCTCATGCAATGGTTCAAAGCATCAAGCACACACTCATCTTCTGACAGTAAAATTGTATCTTCGCGTCTTCGTAACAATGGACATCCTTTCACCCATACCCATGCCCATCTGCTTCAAGTTAGAACACCCAAACCATACCTTACCCTCGCTCTAAGTCTGAGTTCCGAGTCCTGTGGAATTCGCAATTTGCAAATGCGTTTTCCTAAGCTTTCCGCCGCCTCATCTCCATACATGCACACTCCCATGCCTCCGTGCCTGGACTCGCGACCCTGACCAAGTGTGGCTAGCAGCCCAGGTTCTCTTTCTCCGCGGCCGCTCGACGTAACTTAACAAACTTGATAGGTACTGTATATAGCAGTTGGCTTATGCATACTCTATGGCACCCTCGACCTCGAAATTCTCACTCAGATTCTCAGTCTCTCAGTCTCAGAGAAAGTACTAGTAATCCCTTACACTGGGTCTCGGGCGACAAAACGCGAAAATAACAACAAGGCAGGGATTCGTACTTTTGAATTCCAATCACAATCATAACGTCAGTTTCTCATTGTGGGTTGTGCATTATGGTGGATTAAATGAACTAACTCGTTCATTCACTCGCTCACTGCGCCGCTCCACATGCGAGAAAAAGAAAATCGTGGTATTTACTCGAGTACTTGCTTCTTGTCCTGTCCTCGACCTCGTGATCCAGTCTAATTTTCTTTCCAGGTCTGACTGACCCTGCATCTCTCCGCGATTCTTGATTTCGATTCTCGAGTCGTGTCTCTTCTTATCCCTCGTCCCTCATATGTATGACGACATGCCATGCACACTTCAAAAGAAATTACTGGAATTGAATTGGATCGACTCTCTCGCTCCCATGGATTTTTGCAGTACTACTCGTGTAGAGTACATCACACCAGTACTCAGGCTAGACTAGAATCACAGTGTGGCTCCAACTTCACACTTGTTCACATGGGACGGCGCTTTCCTCACGTTGCTGTTGCTGTTTTACTCTCTTTTCTCTCCCTTCCCATTCCCATTCCCATTCCCATTTCCTTTTCTTTTATCATGTACGTTTCCCCCCATCGCATCATCGAAGTTCCAAGCCTTATAGTTTGAACGACCTCGCTTTAAAGTGCTGTCAACGTCAATGTCCCCAGAGTCCAAATTTACTACATACTTCTCTATAGCCGACGCTTGCGTGGTGTCCCAAGCGGGCTGCGACTCAAACTTAGAGCTTGGCTTTCGAATTCTCTCGACCCCAATCCTTATTCCTGACGGGCGGACAGAATCCGGTCCGTCCGTCGTGGAGGGCTTTCCTGGACTTTTCACTTTTTCACTTCAAGTCAGGATATCTTGGAATGCCCTGCGTGGTTTTATCGTTATAGTCCATTCACTCAGGAGTCAAGTTAACATCACTGTTCATGTTCGTGTGCTCGAGTAATGTACAGTGTGTGATGATGCCAATTCGAATCGTGTCTACGGAGCTCGGATTTTTCAAGGGTTCTGATTCGAGTGTGTAGTCATGTTGCTGCGGCTTGTCTGTTGATTTAACCATAGTGCACGGCCAACGAGTCTAAGATCCGGAGGTTCATGCTGTGATATTACTCTGTCCAGCTATTCTCATCAATGGGACACCTGCTTGCCTTTCTGTATTCTTGCCTTACTTTCCTCCACACGTATCAAGGCTTGACAAGTTGCCTTGGCTGGGCTCAAGCTCGAATAGAGTGCATAGCTGCCTACCATGCGGAGTCTCTGGGTCTGTTCTGTTCCAACTTTCTGTTTCTATTTCTATTTCAAACTCGGTCTTGAATGATTCCCATGGACATGGATGCGAACAGTGATAGCTGGCTACCTCTATCACCACCTCCAAGTGGCCTTTCGTAACCCATCACCTTTCTTACTCATTTCTTACACACCTAATTTTTGTTCCAGGAGCTCTTTGGATTTGTAAGATGGGATCATTGGTATGACCATACACACATTCAAGAGAGCACGAAATTTTTTTCACTTGCGTGTTTCTCTTGATATCTCAGGTTATTGCACCCTCCTGAAATACACCAATCAGAAATCGACGTCGAACTTCATCATTAAAAAAACCATCCAATCAAACGAGGTCAGGCAAAGGCCATCCGACCGGTGAGCGATCCATAGTCAGCATGAACTTGATTTGACATGGGGTGGTGTGTCGTACAAGGTTTCCGCCAATGATCACTCGCGTTCTCTCGACCCCTTGCGTAGTGGGTTGAGGGCAACGAACATCTCAACAACTCCACTTTGACATGGGCATGAGAATCAGCCAATGGTCGACGAGGAGGTGGGTTGCTTGTGATTGTACTCTGGCTTGTGGTTTACGTTTACTATACTCATTCCCAAGATCATTCATCTCACAGCTGTTCGGCGTCGACCGCGAGTTCATTAAACGAAGTCGTGGATGATCTCGTTCCTATTGGCGGGATTGAGGATGGTTGGACAGTTTTGAGTGGGTTGGTGAGAGACTCTACTTATACGCTGGAGCTCGTCCCAGGCCGTATAATTGAGTCGTTCTTTTTATGGTCAGTGAGGAGCTTTATTTTTTCTCGACGACATGCCGTAAGAGGCTGTTGAGGATGACAGGCTTGGGTGTGCGGTGCCAGGATTGACAGAACCCTAGTTTACGCTCTTTACTATGTTTGTGACATCGGTTGTATGGACACGCCAGTTAGTTGGCGCTGGACCGTTGACTGACAGTACCCATCATTGCGAACTTGGATTGCTAAGAAACCATTGATATTTAACAGCCAGAAAACGCCACAATCTTCCGGAATCACGATTCTTTCAATCTGTTAGCTTGGCTTAGGGTATTCTCAAACATAAACTGTCGTTTGCTGTCCTTCTCCCAGTGCGCCACCTCCTGAGTCCCGGCCGGTACCAGGTAGCCTACATTCCACTGTAACCCAGTTCTGTCTTTCAAGTATCACCGGTCATCGAGTCATCATGCCAAGAGACTATATTTACTTAGGAGCTCTAAGTAGGTGTCAGTGCGCGGGTACCATGCGTGTATATATAGAGGTTGTGAGAGCTGCGAGGCCAATCCAAAAATACAAAGGTATGGTTAGCGCTAAAAGTGGACGACAGGGATAATGTTCTCATTGGAAATGAAAGGAAAATATGTGGCTTAGGCGTTCTCTCGTACCCGAACTCCATCGCATGTTGTGGTATTCCACGTCGATGGAATCGTGAGGATGCCGAGAGCGCGTTGCTTGATAGTTGTGGGATGTGATATGGCGGGCGCCAGGCAGGCGGGGGAGCTTCTTTTAATTTTTATCTTATTTTTTACCCAGTGGCGCTTATCATTGGCCATGGAATCCTGAAGCTTGGGAGCGGTCAATTTCATGTCCTGAGAGATATGACTTTTTTTTTTTCACTACAGCTCCACAGGTGTAGTCTTTTTGCCTGTCTATGGGCACCAGCCACTGAAATAATAATATCGGCCCGCCAAGTGTCCATCTTAAATTGGCTCTCGAGGGCGGGGGACTGTTTAACGCTCCCACTGCGCATAATGCTTCTCGTCTTCTGAGCTCCCAACAAAGGCTAATTGAACCGGTTACAAAGTGAGCAATGATGCACGTTGGATGAGTCACATAGTAGGGCATGTGCTATTCAGCTTCTTCTTGAAGGTTCATTGAGGTTTGTAGGTTTTGAGAGACAGGGATTCGACTGTATTTTTGTGGGGTATGCTAGAGTCAAAAATTGAGAGCGCCATGGGAGTTGCCTCGTATGATTTAGAGGGCGATCTGAATGGAGCGTGATTTATGAGAAATAGTTCTTACTATACCACGTAGTCGACATTACAATGATGGTCATCTATTCGTAATTAGGACTTGGATGTAGGTGATCAATCCTGGCGGGAAGAATTCAGCTTTTCCATACCCCGAAAATAGATATTACCAGGTTATCAAGCAAGATATCTTGTGAAAGATGTAATAATTCCGCACCCAGTGACCAGCCAGAACATTATATTACTTTGATGTTGTTTAGTAATTTATCTTTATTTTCTACTCCTTCCGGAAATTTTTATCCACTTCATTGCCTTCTCAAGATCTGTGTCTTTGTGCATCATGCCTTGTTCTTAGTATGCATGTTTACGTCACAACTTAATCTCTGTTTTGTGTCTGTCTCTAACGTGAAGTATACGACAATACGCCGGACCCATCAAAGGAACCGCCATCATAAGAAAATAGCATTTCATTGAATATCCGGTGTCGATTATCATACAAGTGAGTTGGCCGCCCTCTCTGCCAGCCGTGACAAGCTATCATAGACGCCCATTAATTCAATTAGCGTTACTGTGGGCCGTCACTGATGGCGATGCGCCACATAGGCCAGTTTGATTTCCTT